CAAGCATTTCTATAAACTGGAAAATACAACATAGGCTCTCTCACACAATGTTCTCTATGTGGTTCTCAGGTGGTTTTCCGGTAATAGTTTTCTATCTATAACCACCCCTCGATCTCTTTATCAGAATTTTTTAAAGATTTTTAACAATTTATAGGCTGTGTGAGGTCTATTTTCTCCTATTCCACATTCCATAACATGGCATTTATTCACATTAAATTCCATTTGCCAAATGGTGCTCCATACACTTAGTTTGTCCAGGTCTTCCTGCAGGGCATGACACTCATCAAAGTTTCTTATCTTTCCAAGAATTATAGCATCATCAGCAAACATGCTCATATTATTCTGTATTCCTTCTGGAGGTCGTTTATGTAGACACTGAACATTATCGGTCCAAGAACTGAACCCTGTGGTACTCCTCTCGTGACAGTTCTCGAGTCCAATACATTGCCTCTGATTACTGCCCTCGTTTTTCTGTCAGAATATTTTTCATCCATATTTAAAGCCTCCCAGTCATTCCTCCAGTATGTTCCAGCTCCCAGAACAACCTCTTATGTGGAACTATCAAAAGCCTTTTTAAGGTCCAGATAAATGCAGTCAACCCAACCATCTCTTTCCTGTAAAATCTCTGTAGCGCTATCATAGAAGCTAAGTAAGTTCATACACACAGAAATCACAATAGCATGATATATAAAATGAACAAATCCACAAAGGGCCTTGATGAGGGTTCGAACTTGTGCATGGGATGTTCCCAGACGCACCTTGGTCAACTGTACCACAGCATGGTCAAAAGAATTGCAACATGGAGTGCTACTGCCCTCACTAAGATCCTGAAGCTTCGAAGCACAACTAGTGAGGGCAGTAACACTCCATGTTGCAATTCTAATTACCTAAGTGTATGCGCAAGTTACAGGATGAGAGCTACGCTCACTAAGTGAAGCTTCCACAACTAGTCTTCCCAGTGAAAATGTTTCACACATTTCTGTCATATTTTCAACCTCTGAATGTTATTCTTTGAAATTACAGGCCTGGTTCTGTTTTACATTTGTGTAATTTGTAATTGCCTCCACCACCTGGGAGTTAGACAGCTCACTGCTCCTGGAATGTGTAATTACCTAAGTGTTTACAGGAAGAGCTACGCTTGTGGTGGCCAGTCTACCACTCTTTGTCATTAACGCTTTGAAAAGTGAATTTTCCACCACCTCACCTAATTTCTCCAACCGCATCTGTGCGAAAGTGAATTTTCTTATATATCTGTTTAAGTTTAAGTCTATGACCTCTTGTTCTTGAAGTTCCAGGTCTCAGGAAATCTTCCCTTATCAATTTTATCCATTCCTGTTACTATTTTGTATGTAGTGATCATATCACCTCTTTTCCTTCTGTCTTCTAGTTTTGGCATATTTAAGGCCTCTAACCTCTCCTTGTAGCTCTTGCCCTTCAGTTCTGAGAGCCACTTAGTGGCATGTCTTTGCACCTTTTCCAGTTTGTTGATGTGCTTCTTTAGATATGGGGGCACCATTCAACCGTTGCATATTCCAGCTTTGGTCTAACAAAAGTCGTGAACAATTTCTTTAATATTTCGCCATCCATGTATTTAAAAGCAATTCTGAAGTTAGAAAGTGTAGCATAGACCCCTTGCACAATGTTTCTAATGTTATCCTCAGGTGATAGTTTTCTATCTAGAACTACTCCTAGATCTCTTTATCAGACTTCTTTAAAGATTTTTCACATAATTTATAGGTTGTGTGGGGTCTATGTTCTCCTATTCCACATTCTATAACATGGCATTTATTTACATTAAATTCCATTTGCCAATTGGTGCTTCATGTACTTAATTTGTCCAGGTCTTCTTGAAGGGCATGACAATCATCTAAGTTACTTATCATTTCTATTATCTTAGCATCATCAGCAAACATGTTCATATAATTCTGTATACCAAGTGGTAGATCGTTTATGTAGACAATGAACATTACCGGTGCAAGAACTGAACCCTGTGGTACTCCGCTTGTGACATTTCTCCATTCCGATACACTTCTTCTCATTACTGCCCGCATTTTTCTATGTCAGAAAATTTTTCATCCATGTTAGCAGCTTACCTGCCACCCTTCCAATGTGTTCCAGTTTCCAGAACAACCTCTTATGTGGAACTCTGTCGAAAGACTTTTTTTAGGTCCAGATAGATGCAGTCAACCCAACCATCCCTTTCCTGTAAAATCTCTGTGGCTCGATCATAGAAACTGAGTAAATTTGATACACAGGATCTACCAGATCGAAAGCCGTACTGTCTGACTGATATTACATCGTTTGTCTCCAGGTGTTCTACCCATTTAGTTTTAATTATTATTCCAATATTTTGACTATTACACTTGTCAATTATACAGGTCTATAATTGAGGGGGTCTTCCCTGCTGCCACTTTTGAAGATTGGAACTGTTAGCCTTTTTCCACACATCTGCTACGACTCCTGTACACAGGAAAGTCTGAAAAATAAGCTGAAGTCGTATGCAGAGCTCAGGTGCACATTCTCTCAGAACCCATGGTGAAACTCCATCTGGGCCAACTGCTTTGTTCTTACTTAGCTCCTTGAGTATTTGTTTCACTTCGTCTCTAGACACCTCAATGTGCTCTTTGTTGTTCTCTGGAATTCTTATTGTGTCTGGTTCCCTGAAGATCTCATTTTGTACAAACACACTTTGGAACTTTTCGTTTAATGTTTCACATGTTTCCTTTTCATTTTCTGTGTATTTGTCCCCCATTTTCAACCTATGAATATTATCCTTTACCTGCAGCTTGCTTTTAATGAATTTATAGAAAAGGCCTGGATCTGATTTACATTTGTCTGCTAAACCATTCTCTAAGCTCCTCTCTGCATCTCTCCTTACTGACGTGTAGTTGTTTCTCGCTTCTTTGTATTGCTGATATGTGTGGGGATTTGGCCTCTTCCTATAATGATTCCATGCTTGTGTCTTTTGATCTCTGGCCTTCTCGCAATTTCTGTTGAACCAACCCTGTTTCATTTCCTGTCTGCATCTCTGTTTTGGTATGAATGTTTGTGTGCCTTCTTCGTATATTTCACAAAATATGGCATACACCTCATTTACTTCCTTGCCCCAGAACCCCATCAAGCAGGTATCAAGCAGGAAAGCCTAGCAACAAGTCTGTCCAATTATGCCCATGAAAAAATTTCTAAGTTCCCCATAGCGTCCACTCTTGAAATAGAGATTAACAACTGTTTCACTGTCCCCATTCTCTACTACTAGATTATATCGCATAGCGTATTTAATGTCCAAGAGGACGTGATCACTCTTTCCCAAAGGAGGAAGGTACTGGATGTCAAATACCTCTTTTTTTTCTTTCCTGGTGAATATTAGATCCAGTACTAATGGAACATCCCCTTCCCTCATTCTTGTGGCCTGCTTGACGTGTTGATACATGAATGTCTCCAAGATGAGATTTACAAATCTGCCTATCCAAATGTCCTCTGTTCTTGCCTCGTATGCCTCCCCGTCTATTGCCTTAAAGTTGAAGTCCCCCAGTACCAACAATCGGGATTTATCTTTGTCAGCTCTTACCATAATCTCTCTCATGACCATTATGAGGCCCTCTTGTTTGTCATCCAGTTCTTCCTTTGTCCATGTGTTGCTTACTGGTGGGCTGTAGGCATTTAAAATTATCAGCTTATCATCTTGATTCCAGCCCTGCAATGCCATTATGTCAATATCTTCGAGGGTTTTCAATTATTAACTCTCTTACTTTCAGGTGCTCTTTCTCCAGCACAGCCACTCCTTCCCCCTTCCTAGCTTTTCTGTCACATATCCAAACTGAATAGCCCCTTGGGAATACGACCTCATTTAAAATATTTTCTTCAAGTTCCGTCTCTGTTAATGCGACTATGTACTGTACATACATACATACGTACATAATGCACTGTATATACGTAGTAAGGAACAATGCTGGGTGAAAACAATTTATTAGAAGGGAATTTATGTTCTGTATTTGCATATACAGTATAATATAAATAATTTAATAGAACTGTACATGCAGTTTTACGAAATGGTAGTCTGTTGTTGTGGATGGCTGCGCTCGAGTGTAGCAGTGCTAGGTTATCCATGATGTTGTACACTATTTTAAATTCTTTAATGAATGCAAGTGTGTTATTAATAATTTCTTGTTATTTAATATGTATAATTTTTTATTATAAAGTATTACTTGTCTAGATGTGATAGGGGAAAAATGATAATGCATGTACTACTACTGTATATATACAGTATCTCCATAGCACCACACATGACCCTGCATGATGTGTGAAAAGAGCCATGTATTGTGGCCTCTAAATGTTGTCCTGCTCGGCCATTCATTAATTCTGTAGCAATGGAATTGTAACTTGGAGAGCAACCAAATCAACCCGTCCTCAGACCAAGTCCATTCCATCCAGCGGTCGACCCCGAAGATGCATTCGTCATTTTTAACATTCTGTTCATTCAAAACAGAACTTTTCTCAAATATAAATTAATATTATTATACATATAGCATGATAGCATATTGTGCATATTTAGGCACTGGTTTGGTTAGGTTAGGTGTTTAGGTTCTGTTGTGATTATTTGTATTTATAGTACTGTACTGTTTTTTCCTACCACAAACATGACCACCCACATTTACAATGCTAGCCAGCATATATTGATTGCTGTACAGTATATTGTAGTACGTGGGTGCAGCATTTGCAGCGTTGTGTTTGAAGAAAAGTCGTCTGCGAAGCACTTGTGCCGAAAGTGTTCGGACGTCATCAGTTGAGTCGTGTGTAAACCATTTTTCATTCATAAACAGGGGTGTGGGGCGTGCATGGAATGGACTTTGGGCCTTTGTTTAGAGGACAGGCTGACCAAATGAAAGAAGCTTTTTATATTGACTCAGACTGAATTGTATTCTTTATTGACAACCTTTGTCCAAAATTATATTGTAATACAAGCAGTACTGTTTAAAAACAGGTGGTATTTGCTATTACAGGTGCCCGTATCTCCACCGAACTGCAGGCGATACTGAAAGAAGGTATCATCTTAGGTATTACAAGACAGGAATGTGTGTTCATGACACAGATTCAAGAGGGATGTGCGTTAAAAATGGTCCCCACTGTGCATTTGCTCATGGGGTAGAAGATGTCAGGTAAGGTTAATTATCTTGTTTTTTGTTTTTTTTCTTTGGTGACAGGGCTGCATGTACAGTGTTCTCTCAAATGTTCATAATCAATTTTAATTTAAATCTTGACATTTTGTTTCTATGGTGCATATTCAAGTGCTTTTAATTAATTAGATACAATATAACCAGTAGAGATACTGTGTGATTTTGTACAAAATAATATTTTGCTTTGAGATTAAAAAACCATTTAGTTGCTACCTGTCATGATTCCCATCCCAGCCCACCTTATGACTCTTGCATGAGAGATGTTCTCATTCAGTAATCATTGTTTTCATTCTTGTAATTGTTAGTGCCATCATAATGGACTTACAGAACTTAGGTATTATAACAATCAGTATGAATGTATATTTTGGTGGTTTTTGGTAAGGTTTGTTGACGAGTAGTAACTTAAAAAGCCAGGGAAGTTTTCCGCCCAGAGGAGGATGACGCAGAATGTTTTAGAAGCAGAGGACAAGATGTTGTCATGGTAACAGATCAAGAAACCATCTGTGGGAATCAATCCGTACAAACCAAGGTCAGAGCATCTTTAAAGGGATCACTGGGATTGGCCAAGACATGTCTCTTATTCTCGAGATTCGAGCAAGGCCACACCTCTCGACTGGCACTCCACACGTGTTGGGCAGATTTCATCAATTTGATGCTCTGACGGAAGAGAAGAATGTAAGCATTCTCTCTCTAGGTGAAGAAAACAAATTGCAGAATAACTTGAATGCTTCACTTCATCCCAATAATGTCAAGGAAGGCTATGTGGAGAAATATAAATGATTGATCTAAAGTTGCAAAAATCATATAAAATCCAAGAGACCATCAGTGAAATAGAGAGGAATCCAAAATACTTTTTCTCCTTTGCAAAATCTAGAGGAAAAACTACATCTAGTACTGGGCCCTTGTGTAAGAGTGATGGAACTTTCACATTTGACAACAAAGAAATGAGTGAAATACTGAGGCTGCGGTACTATTCTTTTTCAGAAAATTTAAAATTTCACAAGCCTCATTGAAGACAAATGATCCAAACAAATTCTTTATGAATGTGGTACCAACATTGAACCATATATCTATGTTACCCTAACCCACAGGATTTTGAAGCAGCCATAGACAACATGCCCCTGCACTCTGCACAAAAAAAAAAAAAATTGCAAAAAAAACACCATCACAGACCCGAAACACCTTTCGGAGATGGGGTCTAGATACTGGTGTTATCCTCGACATACTTAAAACATAAGAGATTGCACCACTCCACACAGGAAGTAGTAAAACAGATGCAGTTACCTATAGACCAATATCTCTTACATCACACACAAATATTTGAAAGAGTACTAAGTAAGATCACAAACACAGGAAATCAATATCTGTGTAACTGTGGACAACATGGGTTCAGAAGAGGATGCTCCAGCCTCTCACAATTGCTAGACCACTATTGCATAACCTTAGGTTCCAGGGATTACAAGCAAAACACAGATGTTATATACAGTACACCAATTTCAAGAAAGATTTTGAAAATTGTGACCATAGTGTTATTGCACACAAAATGTTGACAAAAGGAACTATTGGTAGGGAGATAGAGCTTTAATTTCCTTACAAACAAAACCCAGAGTGTAAAAGTCAAAGTAAAATCTGGATCATCCACTGTGAAAAGCTCAGTCCCCAGGGTACTATCCTTACTCTGGTACTTTTATCCATCCTTATATCAGACATAGACAAGGATATAAACTATGGTACTGTATCATCCTTTGATTTGACACTATGATTTTCATGCGAGTAGACAATATAGAGTAACCCTTCAAACTGATGTTAATCGGATCTTTAAGTGGTCCACAGAAAATAACATGATGTTTAATAAAAATAAGTTCCAGATACCACGCTGTGGAAAACTATTGAAACTGACACCACATATGAAATACAGTCATCACACTATTGAAAGAAAAATCAATATACAAAATTTAGGAGTAATCATGTCAGAAGACTTTACTTTTAAAGAATGCAATAAATTAGCTGTCACAACTGCAAGCAAAATGACAGGTTGGATAACAAAAACTTCATATATAGAGATGCCAGACCAATGGTAATATTTTACAAAGCACTAGTGTTTTGTATGGTGGAATATTGTTGCACACTAACCCCCCATTCAAAGCTTGAGAAGTTATTGATCTGGAGAATGTGCAGAGGACTTACTTTTATTGCTTGAATCCACTCAATAAATCATCTTAAGTTATTTTAATGGCTTAAAAATATTCAATCTGAATTCTCTGGAGTGCGAACAAAAGAGATCATAATAATTTACATTTGGAAAGTATTAGAGGGACTGGTTTGAAATCAGAAATAACTCATGGCCAGGAGGCATGGCAAGAAATGGGGAAAAAAAATCAGAGGTGCAATAGGTATGCTGAGAGAGAATTCTATCAACATCAATGGCCAAAATTTAAACGCTCTCCCTCCACACATAAGGGGCATAACTAGTTCACCTCTCAAGGTGTTCAAGATTGAACCTGATAAACCCCTCCAAAGGATATCTGATCAAACAGTTTGTGATTTGTATGTCAGGCTGCAAGTGCCGTATCCAACAGTCAGATTGACCAGACCACCAACCAGGAGGCCTGGTCAGAGACCAAGCCATGGGGACGTTGATCCCCGGGGACCAACACTAGGTTGAATAGGTAAGAAGGTGCCAAGGAAGGGTGGAGCATTGCAAGTGCATCAGGAAGGTGGCATGGATTTGGTGACTTGGGCGGATGGAGCTACGGCTATCAAGTTAATAACTTGGGGATGGTGAAAGAGAAGATGGAGTTTATGAGTGTGTGAAACTCAAATGAGTTCCAAGTGCTGTGTGTGTAATAGCAGCAGCAGGCAGACCCAGGAGCTACACGCAATGGCAGTTTGGTTTATAGGTGAACCCTAAAGGTAAGAGACTAGCATCTTTCAATGAACAGTGATAGTGTAAAGAGACCAGTGCAAAAGTCCCAGGCAACAAAAGTGTTGACTCAGCAGCTTAAAGACAGTGTTGTTAGCAAGAGAGACAGTGGGGGCCAGTGGTTGAAGACCAAAATAGTGTAGTGAAGGCTGACCTATTTTATGCAGCAGTTTAGAGACTCAGTACGAAGATGTTAATGAGGGCTGTCCCGAACACTAGTGAGAGGGCAGTCATACAGACCATGAATTAAAGAGACGACAGAAGTGGTGACATTATATTTAAAGAGACCATGGTGGTGCCCATGAGCTAGAGTTTAGTGCACAGGTAGCAGAGTTAGCATCTTCAGACTAATTATAATTTGTTAGTAGGTAGTGGCCTGTGTGGGAGTTCACAGGGTCCAGGAAACCCAAGGGACGTTGAGGAGCTCGTCTGCGATCAAGAGAACGTATGACTTCATCCTGGGTTGGAGAGAAAATGGAGTCGCACGTGAACGTCGGCAGGAGTTGCCGAAGGTTGCTGGTCAGACAATAGTACTGTAGATAGTTAGTTAGTGTGATTGTTTTTATTCACTCTCATGGCAAAACTACATGAGTTGTGGAGAAATAATTTACAATTTGAATGTGCTTGGTTTGAAGAGCCAGTTCCAATGATACCCCACATACATGGGGCAGTAGAGTAGATTTACTCTATAATTATAGATTACTCTACAATAGCATATAGGCTATCAATTTTAAGGAAATAGCCATCCAGGCACCAGATATTGGACACCGAATTTCATTTACCGATTATTTCTATTTGATGCGATAACACCAGTATGAATTTATTATATTAAGACAAATTAAGGAGTGGAAATGTTGATTGGCACAATGAATGTTTAGAAATTATTGTGTAGTACAGTGGCCCCTCCGTTTATGAATTTAATTTGTTCCCAAACACAAAGTTCGTAACCCGAAAATTTGCAACCCAAAACGAATTTTCCCATAAGAAATAATGTAAATTGAATTAATCCATTCAACACTCCCTAAAATATTAACTTCAAAATATATTTCATACCTAATACGCACAGATATTTAGTACTATAGTATGTACAAGTTACAGCTTACCTTTATTGATGACTTGTTGGTACTGTATATGGAAATGGTGAGGAGGAGGAGAGGTGTTAGTGTTTGGAAGTGGAGTCCCCTTCCATTATAACACCAGGCACTGATGACTTCTCTAGAGTACTCTCTCTCCTAAGTTTTACCTGCATACCACTAGGACCTGGTTGTGGCTCACTGCTTGTTTTCTCACTAAAAACCTTTCCATAGAGACTTGTTTTCCCTACGTTGTAACACTTATCTGTAGTGAGGCATCACAGTGTCATTAAAAAGGTTAAGGCAACGACCTACTTCAGCTTGCTCTGGGTGAGTCATTTTAACAAAAGTTTGCATTTCTTCCCATAGTCTACACACTTCTTAAATATTGAGGAAGGGACATTCTGTACTATCTCCTCCTCCCCTGAAGAAATTCCTCAGCTGACTCTTGTTGCTGCTCCTTGTGAAGGGCTATGAGTTCTTTGCTGTGTTCCTCCATCAACTCACAACACTGTGAATGTCACTTCTTTTTCTAAATTTTTCAAACCATCCCCTGCTTGCCTTAAATTCTTTCATATCTGCATCACTCGTTCCAGGGGTTTTCTTTATGAGAGCTTCATGCAATAGCATTGCTTTTTCACAAATGATGCCTCTGAAATGCTATCACCCACTAACTCCTTGTTGTGTATCCAAATTAATAATAACTTTTCAACATCCGCAAGTGTTTGTGTTCTTTGTTTCGTGATTGTTGATATGCCTTTTGCCACTTTAGCACTCATGTCTATTGATGTTTTGCTGGATTATTTAGGTAAAGCCGTGTATTCGCTAATCGTCATTAGTAAACTTCTGTTAAATTTCGATCTAGTTTTTACTTACTCATGGGGATTCTGACAAACTTCCTAGCCTTGTCTGAGATTTCAAGAGTTATTGATTATTAATTCATGGGGAACTAACATTAGAGTATTGTGTGGTGGTCAACAGCAAGA